CAGAGAATATTTGACTCGCAAGTTCCTTGGTCAATCTACCCGTAACGAACTTTGATCAGCAAATTCGGTAGGGAGCATTGCCGCAGCCCGTTCGTGTCCAAGTCTACAACAAAAGGCGGCTTCGAAAGACTTCACATGGCTCGAACTGACCGACGATACAGTGATATCGAATTCGACGATATTCTACCAGACCGCTTGGTTGGTACGGACTTGCGCCGTATATCTACTCCGTGTGAGCACCTAGAATATCCCGGCATACATCTGCCTTCCCATAGACGAAAACAGTGTATCTGTGAATTAACCCTGGTGGTCCATGCCATGGAGGCAGTCGTGTTTTGCACCGCTCCTATGCTGCTAACTGGGCTGCTAGATATTCGCCCCGGGAATGTTGCCCTACCCTGCCGAGCAGTAATAATGATATTGAACAGTATCTGGCCACAAGGCCGCCTCTCTTGTGCATGACAGCTGCCGAAAAGGTGGCACGCCGACATATCCAAATCTCCCTCCCCCTTTGGAGAAAGCCACACTGCCGTTCTTGACATGGGATATGCTTTTCGCCGGTTACGCTTCCCACGGGGCACCCCCTTGCCAACTGAATTGGTGGATGAGGATGCGACAACAACCCTACCCTTGGAAGTTGAGGCATTTCGGTTTGTGTTGATTCAGTGACCTTCCTTGCCTGGCTGTTTTACTACTGGACTCTGGGTATACGTGTATTGTATTTTTGACTCATGGAGCCTCTATACAGCTAGGCTTTGGGCAGACTGACGATAGCCTTTGGCGCCAGTACGAGGAACAGTAGGAGGTACTCGCCGACTTCCGAGGTAAATGAGTCCATCGTGTACGATCTCCTGGACTTTCGAGTGTTGCTTTTATCACTGCTGTGTCGAGATGCTGCTCACGGATTTTCAGTAGAAGAGCTAGCAAGCAGCACTCACTGTAAGGCGAAGTCGCACACCCTTGTCGAAAAGAGTACTATGTGAGGTCTGGTAGTACTGTACTCCAGATGTGCAGTCTGTAAAACAGGGGCTTCAAAATGACAGAGCCAGTCAGTAACGAAGCGGGCGCAAGTCGCAGTTGACAGCCAGAGACAAGTTACAACCCAGACATTCTCACATCAGACAAACTCAAAACAAAGTCCCGAGTACAAGCTCCCTGACGGCAGGGCTGCAAATTGGACAAGATCGAGTCAGAAAACAGTCTGCCAATCCGACAGGATCCCACGTTCTAGATCCCCAAAGATCGGCACTTCATGTTTCACTTGTCCACTTTCTGTCAGGCCACAAACACATGGCTTGCATTGGTAGGATCGACAGCCACCACTTTAATGTCCCGTTCAATGATGGGATAGGAAAGTGTGAGCTCTTGATGGGTTTTACCATGGTCACCTTTCAATTACCATGGACGTACTCTGTATCTTGAAACACCTGGGTCCGATTTTGCGCTTCCACAAAGAAGCAAATGGCGACTGTGTCCAGACCAGCCTGTGGCTTGTAGAACCGGGCGCCCCTCTTGGTGCTTGATTGATTTGATTGATTGCCTGATAACGGGCGGCAATTGACTCGACTCTACCACCAGTTGACCTTTGAGGAGCGGTGCTTCTCCGTCTGTTCCAGACTGAGTCTCGACCCGGGACCGCGCTCAAGCTCGTGCTCTTATGCGCCAGCGAGAATGGCAGACGGTTGCTTCTCGGCTTGTTGCCGAGCACACATGCAGTATTGTTTTATTCATCTATCAGAATCTGGCTGCCCTTGCCCTTGCCCATTCACACTCACACGCCCCTCCTCCGTCGACCTGGTGGTTTTTGCTCGCCATGGGTCATGGTCCAGACTCCGGGCCTCTTGCCCACGGACAATTTGTGTAGGGCTATCGGAGCCGATTCCGGAGCGCTCGGAAGAATTGGGCACATCACCGGCCTGCTCTGTGTCTAATTAATCGTTGTTGCCCAGGATGCCAAGATGCTTTGCGTTTTGTGGCAGGACAGCCAAGGTGTCGAGGGAGTCACCAGGGCCGCGCTGCATGCGCATGGCGCCATTCTGGGCCTCTCGTGAGCGCTCGCTTCACAAAAGACTGCCTTGACTGGTCTTGAAGCCAGCTGGTGAAGAAGAAATGACGGCGTGCGACAATGTCTGACGCTTTGCGCCGTTTTTGTTGCACGCACAGGACGCAGCGCAACGTGCTGTGACGCGCAAACCATCTCGAACACTAGGCATTATGGACCTCGCAGGTGACATTGATTTCCCTGGCTACCTGCATGGTTCGATTCCAAACTCGCTCGTCCTCGCCAAAGGCTGGCGGCGCTGGAGGGATATCGAATAAGCCTGCGCCACGGCTTGCGACGCCCAGCATCGCCGTCTCTCCACGGACAGTCGCGGACTTTTTGCAGCTTGCGGCTGTTTTGTTATGCCAAGGCTAGATTTGACTTTCATTTGGCTGTGCCGTCTATTATACTGTGTCTTACTTGCTGTAGCTTCGGGACAATATGACGAGGCCACCGAACCCCGAACCAGAACCCGCACTCCCAGCGCCTATTGTACCGCAGCCAACGGCGCCGGGCGCGATTGAATACCGTGTGTCTTGTACTCCGTGCATCGGAACTAGTATGTAACTTATTTACTGATATGCAGGGTTGCAGCCACCCAATAAATGGCTGCCTGACGTTCATGCATGGCGTGTAAGCGCAGCCACACGTGACAAGGCACGGTGGCCATGCGAGTATAATTCGAGGTGCGCACGTCTCCTTGTGTGGCCATGTGTAAAAGGTTATACTGGACGTGTCGACATGAATGTCTCTGGGAAGGGGGGCAGGGGGCTTGGGTCTCGTCGGGTCTCGCGGTCTGGATGCCGTGTTGAGTGTTGAGTGTTTGTGAAATAATTTGTGTGTTAGTATTGCCATGTCCCGGCACCGCATCTCCTGCGTCCACCACGGCGGCAGGGTCCATTTAATTTTTCGGGGTTTCATTGAATAGGCGTGTGGGAAAGTTTGTTACGGAGGATTTACTTCAGCCATCAGTCGCCAGTGTTTCTGTGATGGAGTCGTCTTTTTCGCGGAATTCTAAGTTGAGGCTCTCGGCGAGGTCTGGACGCGCCGAGAACCTGGCAGGCCGGGGTCGACGACTGCGCACGCGCCAAGGGTGAGGCTTGGGCGGATGGAAGAAGCGCAGAGACATAACGGCGAGTACGGAGTACGGCCAAGAAGTGGGTGGTAAGATTGTCTGATGCGTTGGCCTGGATGCATCACGCGTGGGCTCTCGGGAGAGGGCGTACGTCGGACGGCCACGTCGCCTCCCGGGAACATGACTGGTCTGGCATCAGATGGCCTCGAGGGACCAGAGAGCCTGATGGGAAGTCCCTAGGCGCCAACTCGCTTGCTGGAACGGTGAGTCTCGGAAGCAAAAGGTATTGATGTATATTCAGCATAGGCCTGAGTGCAGGCAAGGACCTATCTGCTCTGACTGCTACAATGGCCCCGAGACGACACAGGCAGCACTTCCCGCCCTGTTGGTTGACAGCACCGCTCGGCGACGCTTCTCAAAGCCGCTCCCAGTCCTGGTGAACATAGGCCGTGTTGTATGCGTTCCAGTCAAAGACCCTCGTGCCGCCGGCCTCGTCGTCCTCCATGTCGACCAGCGCGTCGAGGCACGGGCGACAGCTCTTCAGGCACGTCCCCCCGCCGACGACGTCCTCGGCAAACAGGCGCAGCTGCGTGGGAAACGTCGCGTCCTGGTAGTAGTCGACGACCATGGCCTGTGTGAGCTGCCGCCGGAGCGAGTGGAACTGGAAGTCGGCCATGCCCATGTCCCGGCACTGCAGGAGCGTCTCCTGCGTCCACCACGGCGGCAGCAGGCCCCTTTGCCACGCGACCCGGAGGAAGGACTGGACAAAGTCGCCCTGCGAGTCGGCGCCCCCGCTGTAGATGGTGCCCGGCCTCGTCTGGCCCTCGAAGAGGAACGCGTCGTGGAGGCGGAGGCGGTACGAGTCGATGAGGAGGCGGAACGTGTCCTCCCTGGGGCGGTCGCGGATCCACGTCCTTTCGAGCATGGCCGTGAAGGGCCGCTGGATGGGCTGCAGGAGGCCCTGCCGCGGCGAGAAGGCGGCGAGCGACGGCCGGAGGAGCGGGTCGAAGGCGACGCCCGGGTTGTTGGGGAAGGCGAAGCAGTCGTTGACATGCGGGTGTAGGCCGCCGGTGAGCTCGCATTGGCAGCGGAGGCAGGTCTTTGTGAAGCAGGTGTCGCAGCGGGTGAGCTTGGGACCGGGCCACCACTTCTTGCACTTGTCGCACTGGGCCATGTCTGTGGCTGCGGCCGCGGCGGGAGTGTCCATGGGAGCTTGTGACGCTGGGTGATGAGGGAGTGATGCCGGCGTTGCTTGTCGAGGGAAGTGTTTGTGAAGGGGGTTTTGGGCGTTGATGGAGGTTTCGACGTTGATAGAGGTTTTGGCGTTGATGGAGGTTTGGTGTGTGACTGGTGGTTTGGCCGTGGTTTCTGGCTGAACAGGGGGTGAACGCTTTCTGAGCTACTTGTGAATCGGTGAATGGAACTTGGTGAGATGACGGACATGCGGCAGCTCAAGGCTGTCTGTTTGTGAGTGGAAGAAAGGGATGGCGTAAGAGAAGTGTAATGGAGTCATTCGTAGATATCAAACCGAGGCTGCGTATGAGATGGAGTTGCATAATAGATGTCTAGATCAAACCTTTTGTACTGAACTGTCTAGTCTGTGGACAGGTGCCAACAGTGTTACACTCGGTTAGATATACAGAGTCACTGTGAGGATTATTCCCCGCCGGCTTAGTGAATATGAACGGATTGTGATTTATCTTCGAGCATTCTGATAGACACGACAGTTAGCCTGCGCCCGTGCCTCGACAGTATTTGCCTAGCTCCTCGTCAACAAAGATACTCGACATAAGTAATACGTTGCTTCCCAACTGTAAACGTAGACAGCCTGGCTATCAGGTACGAAACCTGAGAAAGATATTCGTCCAGTTTGTTACGCTTGCGTTATACTTTTCTTTCACGGCTTCCAAATACCTGAAACTTCTCAAAAAAGGAGACAATACTAGCAGCAAACTCCTCCTCATTCGTCTCAATCGCAAAATGCCCAGCATCCAGCAGCTTCACCTCGAGCTTCTCCACATCCCTCCTGAACGCCTCAGCGCCAGGAGGAACAAAAATGACATCGTTCTTGCCCCAAATAGCCAAAACCGGAACCTTGGAGGTGCGCAAGTACTCCTGGAACTTGGGATACAGCGCCACGTTGCTGCGGTAGTCGTAAAACAGATCCAGCTGCACGTCCTTGTTGCCCACGCGGTCCATCAGCGCCTGGTCGAGCGCGTACGCCTCCGGCTGCACCTTGCCGGCGTTGGGAGAGCCATGCGTGTACTGCCACTTGGTCGCGTCCGACTCCAGGAGGCCCCTGAGGGCGTTTCTGTCCTCGTCGGCACCAGAGGCCCAGTACTTGCGCACGGGGGCCCAGAACTCGGCGCCGAGCCCCTCGTCGTAGGCGTTTCCGTTCTGGCTGATGATGGCGACGACCTTTTCGGGGTTTTTGAGGGCCAGGCGCAGGCCGGTGGGGGCGCCGTAGTCGAATATGTAGATGGCGTACTTTTGGAGAGACAGGGCCGAGGCGAAGGCGTCGATTGTGGTGCCGAGATTGTCGAAGCTGTGGGTGTAGTTGTCGGGGACTGTGGTGAAGCCGAAGCCGGGCAGATCTGGGGCGAGCACGCGGTATCCCTGGGCGGCGAGGAGAGGCATCAAGTTGCGGAATTGGTGAGACGAGGATGGGAAGCCGTGGAGGAGGAGGACGGTGGGTGCGTCTGCGCTGCTTGGGCCGGCTTTTCTGTAGAAGACTTGGGCGCCGTTGGCTTCGACGAAGGCGGTGGATGTGTTTGCCGACATTGCTGGTAATGTGGTGTTGATGGAGTTGGGTGATAAGATATCTTGTTCAGGGTGTTAATATTGTTGTTGGGCTGGTTTTGTTAGTTTGTGCTGATTCTGAAAAACTGTTGTTGCTGCCGATGGTTAAATCATCTTGTTTCAAAGGGCACGGCTTATAAGTAAACAACGGACGCCACGGAATGGGAGCAAATCATGTCATTTGTAATATTGAATAGGGTTTGTGATGGCTGATCTATTAGAAAGCTACGCATCTCGGCGTTTCGTGATGCCTAGCACTTGAGAAGGCTTGACACAATGAGGAATCTGGAAGGTCGAACGGCGTTTGACATTCGAAGGTGAAGGTGTGTGGAATCAACGGCGGGAATAGTTTCAAAGGTGTGTTCAATGATGCTTTATTCCCGGCACGGTGATTGACAAGAGAAGGATTTGTCACGGCGAAACGTTGTGATTGGGTCATAAAAAGATTCAACATGCTGCCCCTCTGGCTGAATAATAATAAGAACAGCCAATTACGTGATTGGCTAGTTAGCTCGGAAGTCCGTGGGTGTGCTATCATGCTTCTTAGATATTAATAAGCGCCCGACCTACCAATAAGCAGGAAAGCTTCCGTAGCTCAGTTGGTTAGAGCTTCGTACTAATAAACGTTAGTGATGCGGAGGCCGCAGGTTCAAGCCCTGCCGGGAGCAAAGATCGTTCCACGATGCTTTCTAGCTATTCTTTTTGAATTTTTGCATTGGAGGAATAATGCCATTATGACTTTTTCTTTTCTGTTCCATTCCCCTAAGTGCCATTTTTTTTATCTTGTAAAGCGTTCTTAGCCCTTAGCCCATTCAATATACGGCCCTGGGACAGTGGTTCTTGAGGCCTCGCAACCCTCGCAGCACAAACCCACCAGGTGACCGTTTCAACCGCCGCCCGCCAACTTCTTTCTACCCCACGCGTTTACAGCTTTGGGTTCAAACTTGGGGCTTCCCCGCACAAACAAGCATGACAACTACGATGACAACCATCATGCCCTGCACAAGCTCCTCTATTGGGCAAGGATCAACAACTTGCATCATTGTTAAATATCCGACGGGATGTCAAATGTGTCACTGAGCCAGTGACCCCCACGAGATGTGTCAAATGATGGAGGAATCAGGATCGGACCAAAGAATGGGCGGTTCCTGTCACGTCGCTGTCGAAACTCTTAAAGCTGGGCATTGGTAAAGCACTTGTATATTTTGCAATAACTAGAGTCAAACCCACCATGGTTGGGATACATCGCACCGCCCAGCTTCTTGCTTTCGCCATCGTTCTTCCCCGTCTCTCACACCAGAAATGCACCGACGACGAAGACTGCAGCCTCAACGGTGTCTGCGGCCGTGACACCGCCTGCCGTTGCGATGACGGCTGGATCGGAGACGATTGCGGTATTCTCGACGTCCGCCCAGCCAAACTAGACAATGGCTATAACCAGACAGCCAAAGGGACATCATCCTGGTGCAACAGCATCGTGAAAGACCCCCTGGAACGAAACCTACACCACCTCTTTGTATCCGAGTTCAGCCACGGCTGCGGCCTCGACTACTGGGCACCGTATAGTCGCATCATCAGAGCAGAATCTCGTTCTGGTCCCGCCGGACCGTACGAGTTCGCCGCCCAAGTCCAGGGCACCTTTGCGCACAACCCGACGGTCGTGTACAGCCCTGCCGACAGAGAATGGTTAATGTACCACATTGGCTGTCCGACAGACGTTGCCGATACATGCCAAAGCAAGCACTTCTCATGCGGAGCTGGAAACACGAATAACGGCGAGAGCGGCATCGCTGTCATGTCCAGCCGCGACCTGAGGAGCTGGACGCCCAAAGGCCAGATCTTGAAAGGAAACAACGGCAGAGGCTGGGACGCAGACGTCACAAACCCCTCCGCCTTCCCGCTCTTCTCCAAGACAAGCTATGGAATTCACGGCCGGTTTGATGACGACACCCCGGCAGTGCTGTTGGCCTACCGTGGCTGTCCGTACAATTGCTCTGGCGAAGAGCTCATCAATGTTGCGATATCGGAAACCGGCTACGCTGGCCCCTACGAGAAGGTCCAGCAGGATCCCGTCTTCCCCAATGGCAACGAAGACCCGTTTGTCTGGCGCGACAAGAGAGGCAACTATCATATGCTGCTGCATTCGCTTGAGCCAGAGGGCGGGTTCGGAGACGGACCAAAGGTTGGCCGACATGCCTGGGCGCGTGATTACAAGGGGCCGTGGACTTTTGGCAGCCGAACTTTGGCATTTAGTACCGATGTTAGCTACGTCGACGGGTCTGTTATTACCTTTTATAGGAGGGAGCGGCCACAGCTGTATTTCTCCGAGGACGGGACGATGACGCCCCTGTTTCTGGGGACGGGGGTGCAGCCAAGGGATAGTCCGATGAGCTATTCGGTTATTGTGCCTGTTGGCGATGCGGGTGTCCATGCACAGGGGCCATGAGGATGAGGAGACTTTTGCGACGAGGTTGAAGGAAAGTACGGCTAATTGTGGTGTTTTGACTAATGACAATAACTCCGCCCGCTGATACGGAACCAGTCAGTGATTTTGATACGGTGTTGTTTCTGGGCCTTTATATAGGTGTAAAAGGTTTCTAGTACTGGATTATCTCAACTTGGCTAAAAAGATAACCAAGTATTATTTTCTGCTAATTTATCTTGTCTTTTTATTGTACTTTTGCCCTCAGAATTAAATTATTAAATATGGCTTAATTTTTATGCGCGGCTATAGAAAGTAGAGGTAACAGGGCCCTTGCACCCCGGGCAGGTAGAAGATGGATGATCCCGAGTATAGGAATAAGTGGTACAGTGAACTGCACGGCTTGCCTTAGGATGATGCCGGCAAGTCTACTGAAAGTAGGAGACTCTGGGGTTTATGACTCTGCCGAGTTTTTGCTAGGCGTATTCTAGACGATGCTATTTATATCATTAAATTATTAATAAAAAAAATATAAAAAAAAGGCTAGTTAATCACCAGGACCCACTAGTAACACAATTAATAGTCGTACCTAGCTAATTAAACAGTAACACACAATTCAAAAAACACTGCGTACACGCATCGCGATGCGTCAAATCCACTAGCTCAAGAGATGGAGCTAGTCAATAAAAAGTAGCTCTGTGTCATAGTTTTCCCCCTCATTGCGGAGGGGCTATTTATATCATGATTTCATATTTATGATGGCTTAAGGATAAACAGGGAGGAATAATAACGATGCTTTTTATTTGGGAAAGGGATCAACGGACTTGTGATGCCTATTTCTAGACTTACTCCTTAGTATAGCCATATGGTAAGTACAATCAATACTTATGCTCTTCGCAGGTGATGTCCCTAATGGACTAGACTCTGCCAAAGTTCGCTAACATGAGATAAAGTCACCACGACCTACACCAAGGCCTCAACTAGGTCTCGAGCCCTTGTGTAATTATCGCCAGGTTCAGGGTATTACAACGTGACCTCCGCGTAACAGCCCACAGATGACGATATACAAGGCGCGAAAGGCCAACAACCAAGGAAAAAGTCGCATCAAAAAAAAAAAAAATCGACAAACCGGCAGAGTGGTGGTTGTGGTGCAGCTCACTGAGCTGTGGGCTCAGTGCTGTTTATGGAGACTCGTGGTGGTGCGGTATTATGTCCATCGTCAAGTGACGACTCAAGTCTCACTCACCTCCACAACCCAACTCATCACACTCATCGCCATCGTTCGTGCGCTCACCCAACATTGAGCAAACCTGCCTCCGTTTCACGTACATTTAAAAAAAAAAAGAAATCCCACCACCACAATACAATGTCAAAAAGCGACACGGAACCTAGCGCCTTCCAAACTTGGTGCCAGGCCTCACCACACGCCTCTCACCAAACCCTGAGACAAACCCTCATCCCAGCTCTCCTCGACGCCATCGCCAAGGTCGGCCAGGCCCTCCGCACCGCCCACCACGTCTCGCTCGCCGGCACCGCCAACGCCTTCGGCGACGACCAGCTCAACGTCGACGTCGCAGCCGAGGCCATCATCCGCGCCGCCCTCGCCGCGTGCCCGTCCGTCGCCACGGCCAGCAGCGAGGAGGACCCCGTCGAGCGCCGCGTCCACGACGACGAGCAAGCATGCTACACGGTGGCCTTTGACCCGCTGGACGGCAGCTCCATCATCGCGCCCAACTGGAGCGTCGGGACCATCATCGGCATCTGGGAGGGCCGCTCGGCGCTCTCGCAGCGCCCGTCGCAGAAGCAAGTCGCCGCGATACTGGGCGTGTACGGGCCGCGCACCACGGCCGTCGTGGCGATACGCACGCCCGGCGCCGAGCCGGCGTGCTTCGAGATGGGACTCTCGGACGCCGGCGCGCAGGGCCACGACGTGGTGCGGCCCGCGGTGCGCCTGGCCTCGCCGCCCTTTGCGACGCGGTACTTCGCGCCGGCCAACCTGCGCGCCGCCGCCGACGACGACGGCTACATGAGGCTGGTGGCGCACTTCATCCGGAGCAGGTACACCCTGCGGTACAGCGGCGGGCTGGTCCCGGACGTGGTGCACGCCCTGGTCAAGGGCCACGGCGTCTACGTGTCGCCCGTCACGGCGCGGAGCGGAGCGAAGCTGCGGAAGCTGTACGAGCTCTTCCCCGTTGCGCTGGTCGTCGAGTGCGCGGGGGGCAGGGCCGTCGATCCTGTGAACGGGCGCGACGTCCTCGCCGAGGGTGTGGCCGAGTGCGACCTGCGCGGCGGGCTGATCTGCGGCACGGCCGAGGATGTCGAGCACGCGAAGCGCGAGCTGGGGCTGTCTTGATTTACACAATTTGTTTTATTACGCTGAGAGTTTTATGACGTGGCGTCTATACATGTGGCCAACCGTGGTCGGGAAGCAATCTATAAACCAAAACCCAAGGCAGCATCTCTCCGCCTTTCCTGTTGCAAAGCGCTCTCTGTACTTCTTTTCCTCACAGACCCTCAATGCCGCGCCGTCTAATAGTTCCACTGCGCGCACCAGTTGCGCATGAGATCCGTCGTGACGGGGCCCAGGTTGGCCGCCGTCTTGCTGTGCCTCACCGTCCGCGCCGTCTCCAGATACACATGGTCGGCCTGTCCGGCCTTGATGGCCGCCGCAATCCCGCGATACGTGTCCAGCAGCTTGACGCCGGGGTTCCTGTCGATGCTCGACGTGTCGGAGGCGCTCGCCTCCAGCGCCGCCAGCCACTCCTCCATGCTGACGAGCTCCCGGATGCGCCCGCCAAAGAAGTCCTTGATGGCGGCGGCCAGGTCCGCCCACGCGGCCGTCTTGGGGTTCACGCAGTGGAAGTAGCCACTGATGTCGGCCACGTCGCGGCGCTGCGTGACGCCGGCGACGTCGAGGATGAGGCCGGCGACGTCCTCGACGGGCATCCAGTCCACCACGTCCTGCGGGCCGAGCTCCCTCGGCAGGACCCCCAGGAAGACGGAGCTCGCGACCAGGCTGGGCAGGAACTCCTGCGGGTTCCATTTGCCCTCGCGGCCGTGGGGGCCGGCGATTTGCCCGACGCGGATGGTGGCGCAGGGCACGCCCGACGTCTCGGCCGCGGCGTCGAGGACCAGGCTGCCCGCGAGCTTGGACAGCCCGTAGCCCATCTGGGCCAGGGACGGGTCGGCGAGGCGCCGCTCCGGCACCGGCTCCGCGGCCGTCCAGTTGCCAATCGTGGCGATGCTGGAGAGGAACACGACGGGGAGCTGCTTCGCCGCCGCCGCCGACAGGTCGATGAGGTTTCGGACGCCGCGGACGTAGGGCTCGAACGAGGCCACGCTGATGTTGAAGTTGACCGGCCAGGCGTTGTGGATGATGCGGTCGGCCGCGGCGGCGAGGCTGTTGTATTTCGCCGCGCCCAGCCCGAGATCCGGCTGCGAGAGGTCCGAGCCGAGAAACTCGACCTTGGAGAAGTCGGTGGCCAGGCCTCTGCCTGCGCTGACCCCGGGCTGTCGACCCTTGCCGCCGTCTGCGCCGCGGTTCAGGCACACGACCGTCTTGACGTTGCGCGACTTGCAGAGAATGTCGAGCATGTACGCGCCCAGGGATCCCGTCGAGCCCGTCAGGATGACCGCCTGCCCGTCCTCCAGGGGCTTTGGCTTGTCGCCCCGGCGGGCCGGCAGGTCGGCCGTGTACTTGGACACCAGGTCTTGCAGGATGGAGATTTCCTTGTCGCCCTGCGCGTCTTGATCGGAACCATCCGCGCTCGTGGCCGAGTATATGTACTTTGCCAGCTGCTCCGGCGTGGGGTTGGCGTATATGACGCGCGGCGCGACAACGGCATTGTCCACCTCGGCGCCCGCGGCTGCGAGGCCGGCCCTCAGGAGCTTGGAGAAGCTGAGGACCTGCAGGGAGTCGATGCCCGCGCTGAAGAAGTCGGTGTCCGGTTCGACGCCCTTGACGCCCAGTCGACCGGTGAGGAGCTCCAGCACAGAGTGCAGGACGGCGTCGACACTGCCCAGGTCGATGGCTTGCGCATTTTCCGCGTCGACCGCGTCGGCCTTTTTGTAAATCTCGTCGATCTTGTCCTTGTACTTGCGGACCGCCTGCTGTCTCTGCACCGTCCCCTTGCCAGCGCGTGGGAAGGGCATGTCCGGGTCGGATAGCGCCACCAGCTGTTTGGATATGCGCCCGTGGGCGACCGTCTCCTTGTTCAGCGCCTCGACCAAGGGCCACACCGACTCGATAATGGCGTGCGCTTCCTCGTCAGTCTTGGGGGGCGTCGTGGGCTCCAGTATCAGCGCGGGCTGGAACCTGTCCTGTCCGACGACCAGGGCGCCCTTGACCGCGGCGTGTCCGACGAGGCCGTCTTCGATGGTGACGGGGTTGAGCTTCTCGCCGTTTGAAAAGACGATGATGTTGTCCGCTCGTCCGTGGTACATCCAGTGGTCCTTGAGAGTGGGATGGGCCTTGAACAGGTCTCCCGTAGACCACTCCGTGAGATCGGGGAACGTGTAGAACAAGGGCTGGTCGAGCGGCTCCTTGGGATCCTTGCGACGAATCAAGAGCTCGTAGATGCCGTTCTCAGCGTCACGCACTCGCCAGTCAGCGCCCATCACCTCGCTGTTGAAGATGAAGTACTGCCACAGCTTGGGATTGGGCTGGAAGTAGATGGCATACGGAGTGAGCCTGCCAGCACGGTTAGCCAAGATGTGCGGGAATGGGCTTCAACGGAAGAGGCGGCATACTCGGTCGAGGAGATGGTGTTGGTTAGAGTAACGCGTTGCTCTACGAGAAAATCACCGGCTGTCTTGGAGAGATTTCCTTTGCGGCGGCAGTCAGCTATTTTTGTCCTTTTTTGTCATCGGCGCACCAGTCAGGCGTCTTCTTACCTCCACCGAACGCTACAAGTTTCATCCTCTTCAACTCCTCCACGCCGTCGGGCATCAAGCTCAACTCCTCGACAATAGAGGGCGGCAAGAAGGCCGCGTCGGCTCCGGAGCACTGCAGACACTTGACGGTCAAGTCTGGCGTGAGCGGCTGGTCCAGCAGCGGCAGAGCAGCCGGCACCCCAGAGTATATCCCCAGGCCCAGCATGCCGAAAAAAAGTCCCGCCGCGTGAAACATTGGCATTGGTACAAAGACTTTGCTTACGGAGGACTCGATGACCTTCCATTGGAACTGGGTGCCCACGTACTCGGGCAGACCCCGGAAGGCGTCTACCATGGCAAAGCCGCCCTGCTTGACGACAATGGGCTTTGGGAGACCGGTAGAGCCGCTCGTGTGCAGAGCGACCAAGGGGTCCCGGCGGGCCTCTTCAAAGGTCTTGGTGTAGGGGAACGGCGACGACGGAGAGGCTTGGAGCCACTCTTTCAGGGGCGGAACGCTCCATGACTTCATCTTGCGCTCGCAGAGCCAGGTTCGTACAGTGAGATGGAACGACTCGGCGTACCACACGTGGTTGCAGTTTGTTCTCTCGAATAGCGATAGCTGGCCCTCGATGCTGTTTCGGGGAGAGACAAAGAGCGCCTTGCAGCCGGCCTTGATGGTGGCCAGGACTAGGATGCCGTAGCGGACGTCGTTGGGCCCGACGTAGGCAAGGGTCGGGAACTCGTCGGTGCTGTCCTTCTTGACAGTCTCGGCGATGATGTACGCGACATGGTTGATGGCATTGGCGAATTCCTTGAAGGTTACTGGGACCCAGCCATCTTCGGGTTTGTTCGTCTTGGGCTGGAAGTGGAATGGGCGAGAGGGTTCAGAAGCAGCGATTTCATCCACGACATGGGTTAACAGGCGAGGGGCATGTGTTTTCGACTTTGTATCGATGCCGTTGGTGCCGTTGGTAGCAGCCATCGGGATATAGTATCTCTATCGAATAGTGTCGGGTGGTTGGCTATATGGAGTGATGTTTCGTCGTCACTGATAAGTGCTGATAATGAGGTGAATTCTGGTTTTGCTTGGTATTATGGCTCAAAGGTGAGTTGTAGAGGCTTATTGCGAGACTTGTCTGGTTTATATAGTTTACTCAAGAGCCAATATTTTACTCTGATAACCTCCAACGACCGGCAATAATCGGTTCAACGATGGCATTTCACCTCCAAGCCTGTCAAAGGCCGCTTAACACCGTCTCGAAACGCACTTCTCGTGCTCCATTCTGTGCTGATCTGCGACGTCTGAGCGCGGGATGCAACGCTCCTAGGTCACGAAATGGCCCAAGACCAATTCGCGGATCAGATTAACCAGAGGGGGAATGGCCGGCTGTAACTTGTGCGATTTAACTTTATGACAGTCGTGTCCTCCGGGGTGGAGGGTGGGACTCGCGGCCTCGCCCGATTGTCAAGGCCGTGGGAGCTCGTCAATGTGATTCTGCGCATGACGAAGCAGCCGGCGAGTTTCTGGTGTTTGTAAGATATGCCTAACACCACGTAACCCAAGCCCAGGTGCCGACGCGCAAAAGTACTGAGATGCAATCTACAAGTACAACTCTATTGGCTCATTAATATGGATACACGATACCGCAGTGTGCTGCAGTATATACTCGATGGCCGTAGTCCGGCAACTTCCTTTTCGCCACTCGCGGCCATCTCAACATCGAATGGCCGGCCGCCTAGGCCGTTCCCGGGGCAGTCATCTTTCTTCCGTTTTAGACTTCGCAAAGGGCTCCGGACCATGTTGCATTCCATGGAACGTCCGTCGATGCTTTGAATTCGACGGACTGTGGCAGGGAGGGCAGGAGCTCAAAAGTCGCCCGAAAGTGCCGGCACTATGATCTCACTCCCGCAGCCCCCCGGCCAAGCGCCATCGACGATCTCACGCACGGATGGGAATGATTTCACCCCTGGCAGGTGAAGAATATGCGAGCTGGCCAATCGCCCTTGGGCCGAGTCTTGTTCCCGACAGCGACATCTGCCGTTGAGAAGCACTTCCTGCAGTAGCCGCACATGGGTGCTGCAAGCAAACCAGATGGCGAGCCAGCACCTCCTGCAGGCTTATTCCCGGACTGTCCCACATGCGGAGATGTGGTTCATATACTACTAATCATTTCGTCTACGGAAAAACGGCATCGCGTCATCCACGCCGCTCGTATGGCCTCGCAGTGCGGCATCAGGGGACGGCGGAACAGCCAGGCAAAGTACGCCGTCTTCATCTTCGTCCCTGTCCGTACATGCAGCTCTCGCACATGTGATATCTTGAAGTGAAAACAACAGGCGTGCCCCTAACGGACCATCTCGAACTCGGGATCCCGGTCGTCACCGCACCCCTTGTACTGGTCGTATTTGCCAAGTCGCTTATCGCGGTTCATCTTTGCGCACCACAAAACATTCGCAAGAATCCTGCATATACAGGGTCAGCCGCTGTTTTTTTGATTTTTTTCTTTCCCCCCTCAAGTCACCGCTCTTGGACCCTCAAGCACTTACGCTACCCAGGCGTAACACAGCAGGCCCATTATGATGGTATGTCCGCGGTGGTAGTTGGGACCGTCTTGTCTAGGGTACACGAATGCTAAGGAGAGAGCAAACGCCCTTATTAGCAGTGCACTTGTTTGATCATGCCTGGTTCGATACATGACTGCCGCCGAGTGAGCTGGACGTACTGGCTACAAAACCACCGCAATTAGCAACTGCCAACTGAAGGGCCGACGTTGTTGCTCGCTTATAGTGGCCCGCTGAGTTGTTCGAGTTCCATACGAGGATGCAGGGCACAGAGCAGTATAGTCCAACTGCCATTAGACACGTCATGGCAAATCGTACCGATGGACCCGTTACGTTGGCAATCACCGCATAGCCCACAATGGCAATTGGGAGAATAAAGAGCATCAGAGTCCCCCGCAACTTCAGACGATCCGAGAGAAACGCGACCAAAACTACGTCTTTAGTGTTGGTGGGCTGCCCTGTATGTTTCTCGCGTGTTGGGTTTATACTGCCTACCTGTAATCGGAGTAGCAACTGCATACGGAATCACAGACCAGAGCTGTGTTTGGTTGGCGTCGCTTGTGATGTTGAGAGCGTTGACAATGGTTGGCAGCTGGTTTGCGTCAGCACCAACAAGAAGGAGAAGAGAGAGAGAGGCCCAGAAATGATGACCGGCGATGCACGAGAGGAACAAGGACGTACAAAAAGACCAAAAGAGTACAGCCCGGACAGAATTGCGAAATACGCAGTCGACGTCAACCAAATCTGGAGATTAAACACGCCGCGCCGGACTTCGCGCCAACTGAATTTCTCGTCATACTCCTTGGCAAGACTGCATGCATATGCGTCAATACGCTGCGTCAATCATCAGGCGAGCGGGCACATACTTGAATCGACTAGAGTCCTCAGCCAACCTCCTCACAGCCCAGTCTCGCTCCTCTGCGGAAAGATAGCTCGCGGTAGCCACGCTGTTTGGGAGGCCGAGATAGGCGACAAGTCCCGAGAGAACAGTCTGCCGTCGCCAGCATTAGCCATGAGATTTGTCACCGGCCGCTGTGCACCGGCCGCACACCAAGTCCCCTCAAGGCACATACGAGAATCCCCTCGATAATAAGAATCCATCGCCAGCCCTCAAGGCCACCCCGCGGTCCGATTGCCGACAATCCACGCGCAAGCAGACCTGCGTACATGTATTGTCAGCAGATCATAGACAACAATACCGCAGAGTCCACCACCGGGACACAAACCTCCAAAGGCGCCAGACAGGGACGCGGCAGAGTAAAAGATGCCAATTCTCAAGGCGAGTTCTCCGCGGGTGTACAGACTGGACAGGTACAGCACCATGCCGGGCAGCAGGCCGCCCTCGGCCACCCCCAGCAGAGCGCGGACAACCCAGAAGCTGGTGAAGCCACGGACGAAGCCAAGGCACATGGTGATGATGCCCCACACGACTGTCAAGCAGGGCAGGAGGACCTTGGGGGAAACCTTCTTGAGGAGCAGGTTGCTTGGCAGTTCGCTATTGTTTGCATTGTTAGGTGCCATTGCCAAGACTCGGGGGGGCAAACATCGGCCGCCGGCTCACCTGGCTACATAGGTCGCGTAGAAGACGGCCAGTCCAGTCGTGTACTGTGAGTCGGACAGGCCAAGGTCATCTTCTAGTCCGAGAATCCTGGCGTTTCCGACGTTTGTGCGGTCCAGGAACGAGCAGAGGAACAACAGGGCAAGAATAGGCAGCACTCTGGACAGGACGATAGCGTGAGCACTGAGCAAAAGGGTGTCCGTTGCACAGGGACAACAATAGTGACCTACCGACAGTCCAGTTTTAGTAATACCCGTTTAGTTACCGTGTCGTTGTCATTGGTCTGCAACGGCGGCGTGCCGCACTCTTCGTGCTCGGCTTTGCCGTCCATGTCAAGGCCAGATTTGGAGTTTATGTGAAAACGATGTCGTCGTATCAGACAAAGGCAATTACAACCTCGACGGAATGTAACTCTGCCCGCGCCAGACTCAGATTCCCCAGGAACCCAGGCTGAATATAAACATTGGACCGAACCCAACCCAGGGAATCATGGTTCAGCCACTAGTGACTCAATCTGGGGGAAGCGGAGTTGCGGGGTGCAGAATTAGCCTCGCGGTCGAAGCCATGCGATGTTTGTAATACAATAACGGCTATTGACATCACTCCCCCTTCTTCGCTGTTGGGCCGGGGTCAAGCGTGACGTCTGGCAATGACGATGCGAGCTGGACGGCGCAGCGTTGCAACGGTGCGCTTCCGGCCCGGCGGCTGATTTGGGCGCCGACCCACCCGGTGGTCCGTGGAGGGTCCTCGGGGCTACTTTTTGCGGCCGAGACGTGCATTGATCTTCAAGATGGTGGCTTGTCAGCGGATGGAGACGAGAGGAGCCCACGGAGGAGCCGCAAAAGCTTGGCCAGGAGACAGATTATGCGAGCCGACGAATCCGCGGCCGTCCCTATTGAATTCGGCCCTTATTGGTGATGGAGCTCTCATGATAGTGACTTCATCCATTGGGAGCTGCGACCCAGTCAGTGCTCGGAAGTCCGGTTATCCCTCTTCCATAAAACCGAAACATGGAATTCTTTCTATTTATTTTATTTCTCGTGCGCCTGCCGACGTAGCTTTACCCATCTCTCACCATGATAACTTTGAAGCCCAACATGGCTCCCAGACCAGCGTGGACCGTCACCGCGCGGATACTGCGATCCAAGACGAGCTTTGGGAGGCGCACCTTTATCACAACAACGGTCCGATTCTCACAGTCGCAGCAAAAATACTCCAAGGTGTATAAGGATGCGGACGACGCTGTTTCAGACGTCAAGAGTGGTTCTACGATTCTCAGTTCTGGCTTCGGACTATGCGGAGTCGCCGGTGCGTCTCATTCCCGCCGGTTTGACGGAATGCATTATAGCTGACCCCTTTTTTACACCAGACACGATCATTCAAGCTCTCAACCGCCGTGGAGTCGAATCACTGCATTCACTCACCGCGGTATCCAACAATGCCGGCATAGAAGGCCAGGGTGGCTTGTCAACACTCTCCAAGGCCGGACAGGTGGATAACCTCATTTTGTCCTATCTTGGAAACAACAAGGCATTGGAGAGGAAATACCTCAGCGGCGAGCTGGCCATTGAGCTGTGCCCCCAAGGAACTCTTGCTGAAAGATTGCGAGCCGGAGGCGCAGGCATTCCGGCTTTTTATACCCCAACTGGAGCCCGTACGTGGACACCATGAAGAACAATAGACGAGGCTCTAACTTTTCTCTCTCTTTGCAGACACACTGCTCCAAGAAGGCGAGATCCCAATCAGACTCGACTCCTCTGGAAAGGCACTTGAAAAGGGCAAGCGCCGCGAGACCCGAGAGTTCAATGGGCGATCATTCCTGCTGGAGACTGCGCTCACGGGCGACGTTGCCATTCTGCGAGCCTGGAAAGTCGACAAGGCGGGCAATTGTGTCTTTAGGTATGCATGTCTCCCCCCCCGTGCTGCAATCTTTTAATGACCGTTGTAGATATACCACAAAGGCGTTTGGGCCGCTGATGGCCAAGGCAGCCAAGGTCACCATTGTCGAGGCCGACCACATTGTTGAAATCGGCGACATCGACCCCAACGACGTCGACCTGCCGGGCATCTTTGTCGACCGCGTCGTGCCCGCCACCGCCGAGAAGAAGATTGAAATCCTCAAGCTGCGCGACCCCGAGGCCGACGCCGCGGCCAAGGACGGCGCGCCCAAGAACGGCGCGCAGGAACGACGGAACCGCATTGGCAAGCGAGCGTCCGAGGAGTTGAAGCAGGGCTACTACGTGAACCTGGGCGTCGGTACGTCAACCGTGCAACCGCCTGCATTTCTTGGCAAAATGCTCCCGAAACTGACATACGTGGCAGGTATCCCTACCCTGGCGGCCACCTTCATCCCAGAGGGTCGCACGGTCTGGATCCAATCTGAGAACGGAATCCTTGGCATGGGCCCATACCCGACCAAGGACCAGGTCGACCCGGACATCGTCAATGCCGGTAAAGAGACGGTCACGCTGGTTCCCGGCGCGGCCGTCTTTGATTCGTCCGAGTCGTTTGGCATGATTCGCGGCGGCCATGTGGACGTTTCTATTCTCGGGGTACGTCCGCCGCCGAACGTGTGACAGTCGTTCGTTTTCATGAAAAAAGCTGACGCGTGAGTGTACATGCAGGCCCTTCAAGTCAGCGCAGACGGCGACCTCGCCAACTTTATGATCCCGGGCAAGGTCTTCAAGGGCATGGGCGGCGCCATGGATCTCGTCGCCAACCCCGACAAGACCAAGATTGTCGTCGCCACCGAGCACGTAGCCAAGAACGGCACCTCCAAGATTGTGCAGCAGTGCGACCTGCCGCTGACTGGTGCCAGGGTTGTGAGCACCATCATTACCGATCTCGTAAGTGCCGCGAAAGGGGATGCGTTTATACACGGATGGCTTCTGACTGTACTAGTGCGTGTTCCAGGTCGATCGCGACAATGGCGGCTTGACCCTGACGGAGCTGGCGCCGGGCGTCGACATTGAAGAGGTGCGAAGCAAGACGGATGCCGGGTTTGCCGTGGCCGAGAGCGTGAAGACGATGGCGTGAGCGGAAAAGATATACCATTGGATTATATAGACTTGGATTGCTTTGTTGCCATTTTCCTGTGGCGAGCTGTGTCGCTGGACAATATACCATTTGCATCGTATAAACTCATGCCTCGTCCATGATATGGTCAAGTAGAGCTTGCTTTATATGTATAGTATTCCCTCAACTTGCCCGCACCACTTGCACTTGCACGTATGTATGTACACGATCAAAAGCGATCAACACGCTCCCCCATGAACAAGGGGTCTATTGTCTATCAAGCAGCAAAACAAAAAAATCCGCCATGCCACAGACAATCCTCCCCTACAACTTGGCCGCCCTCGCAGGCGCAAAGTTGGACCCCAAAACCTCGGCGATCCGATCGACGGTGCTCAGAATCCACTCCAGGCCTTCATCGCCCACCAGCCAGGCCACCACGTCTTCGCTCTCGCCGCCCTCCTCGCGCCAGCTCCCGTCCTCCCACGCCTTCCTCAGCCCAAACACGTGCGACAGGACCTGCGGGCCGACGCCCGTCTGCGCCCTCAAGCACGCAACGGCGACGACGCTCGTCAACACGCGCCCCGTGCTCGCCAGCCCGTTCCTCTCCACGGGGTCCGACAGCAGCGGGCCGTAGTGGCTGTTGAGGATATGCACCGGCAGGTCCGGGTGCGACTGCGCCAGCTTGTCGACGAGCTTCTTCTCAAACGGGGCGTATATCGAGTCCCACAGCCGGCGGCCGCGCGCAGACACGTCCCCCAGGTCCGAGGGCGTCGGCGCCCGCGACGACGACGACGACAGCTGCGACGCGACGCTCTTGGGGAGCGACGCGTGGAATGCGTTGAGGCAGTTGATTGTGCGGGGGATGCCGTTGAAGCTGATGCACTTGAGGCCGACTTCGCGCATGAACTCTGCCGTCTGGACCGGGCTCTGGCCCCGTTGCGACGAGGCGATGGCGTGCAGCATGGGCAAGGAGTCGGGCGAGTTGAGCGTCATGGTGGCGGCCGTCTGTGGTTTTCCCCCGGCGTTAGCTGTCAAGTCAGTCTTGCTCCCGTGTGTTGCTTGGGGGATGACGCACGGAGACAGCCAGCCAGGGCCGAGTGCCAATCTTCTTTTGCGCTGCGTCGCTGGCGATGCTGCCGAGCACGTCTCTCATGGCTGCCGGCGCGGGCGTTGGGCCTGGCCGCGCCGACGGCGCGTTGATGAGGGCCTTTAACGAGTTTGATAGCTTGGCCATGTTTCTGGGGCGTGCTTGTCGTGAGTTTGTCGGCGGGGAGAGTCTGCCCATTGTTTTTTTAAACCCCTCGGAGGGAACATGCGCCGGGCTGCTGGTTGGGCAAACTGTTTTTGGTCTGGGGAGTGATGACGTTTGAGAACGTGGTGATCCGCCGATGGAGAGTTCCTCGGCCGGAGACTACTTCTGGATGCCGAGATGCGGCGTATCAGGTGGAGCATTGACAGGGCTGCGGCAATAGCCCGGAGGGTACTATTGGGGCCGACTTGGGATTCTTGGTTGGTGACTGAGAACGGAGGTGAATAAAAGGCGGTTGAATTGATGGATGGGATTTGTTCGAGTAGCAGTAGAGTGTGGTGTTTGTGCACAACGCCATTTACAAGTTACAACATTTGAACCATGACGACGTCAAGGCCTCGCACTGAGCCTTTCTGGCTTGGGTACGTATTGGATGCCCTGCTCGCCCGTCATGGTGAAGCAACAACTTACACCAAGTTGTCTATTCAGCGGCGCGGCGGCATGTATGGCCGTCTGTTTCAGTAAGTCTATTGTCAACGAAGCTTCACTCTCTCTGAGGCCCAAGACTTACACCGCATCTTACACCACAAAGCACACCCGCTCGACCAGACGAAATAGTGAGTTTCGGGACCAAACGGCTAAATGCGCATGGGTGGCTGATTCCCCATCTCTAGTCGCATGCAGGTCCTCAAGTCCAGCAACTCCATGTTGAGCACAATGTACAGATTTGGGCTCCGAGACGGTACGCCACCCCAAACTTTGAGAATCGGGCCTCAACTAACCCCGACCTATTCCCCAGGTATTCCCTCATTATGGGGCGGCCTATCGGCGTCTATTCTGCGACAAGGCACATACTCAACTGCCCGATTTGGATTGCACAATCATCTTTCCTCACAATTGCTCCAGACGTCCGGTAGAGACAGGCTTCCGGCATCATGGAATATTGCTTGCGCGGGGGTTTCCGGTGGAATTGCCGGGCTGATTGGCAATCCTACTGAGGTTGTTCTTGTCCGTATGTGCGCCGATGGAGCAAAGCCTGCAAAGGACAGGTTCCGATACTCGAATCCATTAGTTGGTCTGTGGCGGGTTTGGAAAGAAGAGGGGGCGAAGGCGTTTGGTCGTGGGATTGGACCGAATGTCACGAGAAGTGTTCTCATGAGTACGTTTTGTCAAACCTGTTGTCCGGTACTGTTTAGTCTGATGCTAAATGCCGTTTTTATCCTTGAAGATGTGTCACAGATCGCATCGTAGGTCATTACGGAAACGGGCTCGGCGGCGCCACGCAGGCAGGGCTAACATTTCCCAACAGCTATGCGTCCGCAAAGCAGTCTCTGCTGGCATCGAATAACATGTCGGATAATATCACCACCCACGCCCTCGCTTCGTTAATGGCAGGAACAGTAGCCACAACACTCTGTGCTCCTGCAGACGTTTTAAAGAGCCGGATGCAGTCGAGTGCCAAGGGAGATGCAAGTTCATTGTTGTTCTGTCACGGTTCGTGATATGTTGACTAACAATTCGCAGGGCCTGTTGCAAATCGTTAGAAATGGGTTACGGGATGAAGGGCCGCGCTTCTTAATGAAGGGCTGGACACCAGCCTGGCTGAGACTAACGTAAGTCACCTCCATGACCGTCAATTGCCCGCTTGCCTAACATGAAATGCAGACCACATACTGTTCTGACATTCGTCTTCATGGAGCAGCTGAGGCGACTCTCGCAGTTGACTGTCTCACAGCAGCAGCGGGATACTGCCAAGATGTAACTATTAGTCATGATAATAACTGCTACAGAGGTGAAATGATATGTCTCTGAGCTGCCTATCCCACGAATTCTGGCCAGTGCAGCCAGTCGAAATTGCTCATATCCTCCCAAGAAAGCCCACCAAATGAAGCCTCAAACTCGTTGCCCGGCTGGTTGAGCACATGTGTAATTTGATCATCTGACATTGCAGAGAACTGGAGAGGCTCAGGCCATGTTAACTGCTGGGTCAAGAAACTATTGCTGTTCGATGTAGCAACTGGGGCGCCAATGGGTTGTATTTGGGGTGCTCCCGGGTTACTCGTATTTTGTGGTGGTGCGGATGGATAGGCCACGTTTTGTTTCGCCGCTTTGCGCACAATCTGTCTCAGATATCTTCCGTATAAAGTCGACAGTCCGTTTCTGTGTTGTGTAATGGTTCCTATTCTCTCCAGAACGCCCGCGGCCTCATCAATGAGTTTTCGAATGCTCGGTACTAAAGTAGAGCCCCCAGAAGTATAAGCGCTGAGGGTTAATGCAAAACAAGCAGCAAAAGAAATCATAATTGCTGTGTTATTGGGCATGGAGTGTAGCTGGCCTTCACCCTGAATGGCCGCTCTCATGACATTTAAAGCTGATGAGAGGCCCGCCGTACGGAAGAATTGCCTCACTTCGATGGGAGCTGTGGGGTGGTTGATAACACCGCCGTAAGTAGACAGTCGAGTATGTGTTACAAGGATATCGACATATGGTGGTAATCGACGCTCTGAGAATGATTTAGCCTCAACAACCACCTTATTGCCGCAAAATACGTTACTCACGGGGTCCAGTGCCAATTGATACACCCCATTCTGTGTACCACTGATCAAAGAAACGCTCTATTGAACTTTGGATTCTGCGAGCTGTTAATAGATAGAGCATGACGATAGTAATAGAGTTACATACGATTGAGCAATCAAAGATCCGTCACTGACTGGATTCTGCGACCCATCACAGAGAGAGCGAACTGTGGCGAAGAGGCCATCCTGGTGCAATAAGTATAAGCGATACACAATACATGAGTCTTGTGGACTTGGAACATACCAAGTCGCGCCGAAGCACAGCCATTGACACCAAATGGCCATCTTGAGGGTCTCCAACTGCTGATCGATACCAACTGTCACAATCTTTGATCAGTTTGGTTACAGGCACCACAAACGGACGGCCACGAGCCAGTGACATTCTACACACATCATTAGCGCAGAACCCCCCACGGTGTGCCATATAATACGCACCCTCGTTCGAGAACAAATAGAGATATCCAACAGCGCTCCCTGTTTCGCAGTAGAAGCTTTGCTTTGTCGGTCCATGGATCAAGATCTGGATATCCATCCATTGCCAATGCTGTACGGGTATCCAAGCATTCACCTCTTGCGAGAGCCAGTTTTGAGCCCTCTTGTAAGACATCCGTAGGAACTATAACTTTGTGTAGGGAAAGGTCTATGGCAACGCTGGTCGCCATGGATATGTAGACACAGGCCTCGTCATCAGTGCTATGCTGTCCTGGAAACATCCAAGGGATATTGACCATGAATGCTAGCACAATTTCGATGGATTTATGTCTTCGCAACATGACTCTGTGTGCCAAAGTAGTGACATGATTCGACAGACGTTTTGATAATGCAGAGGCTGTGGGTATAAACAACGCTGACGCTGCAAGAATGGACGTGCAGAGAAATGCAGATCTTGACCGGGTGTAAGTCATGGTGTATAGTCTGGGATCAAACCCCCACCGAGTGTGGGAGAGATTTGCGTGAAAGCTATCTGGTTTAGCACTCTCTCGATACAATCACGGGGAGCAGAGACAGACTTACTATGCAAACAGGGAATCGGCCTCTTCCTCTGTCACCAAACCCAGCTCAATCGGATCGATGTCGTTGCCAACATCCAGGTTCACCTTGGCTCCAGAGAAAAAGGCCTCGAGACTCGCCGCCTCAGGACTTTTGCCTGAAGCTGCGCCTTTCCTTCGCGATTGCTGTGGTGAGCTGCGACTCCGAACCTCTCGAGAAGGTTGAAAGTAGGATGCGCGAGCCAGCAGTTGCAGAGGATTTTCAGCATCGTCCACAGCCAGAGTCTCCTCTGTCCGCTGGACAATGTCCTCGGATATGGAAGTCTGGTCGGCCATGTCCTCTTCATATTCGCTAGATGAATCCTCAGCTTCTCCACTCGCTTGATGGTTGGACGCTTGGCTGGGCGACCACTCATTGCCATCGAGATGGCCCATGAGGGCCCTCATTTGCGTCAAGACTTTGTCATCCTCAGGACTTTGCTGCTGCCCAATTCTTGCTCGTTTGACTGCCTGTTCGACTTGGAACAATGCCTTTTCAAGGCCGACTCTCTTGCTGCGGATCGAAACACGAAAGCAAACATGTTAGCCAAGGTCATCAGAGGGATGTAGGAAAGGACCGTCTCTATACTTTTTGATGCCCTTTTGGCGACCAGCGTGGAAATCAGGACGAATACATTCTGTTCCCAGTTGGACACATCTCTTGCAGCGTCCACTGGGGGAAGCCCCGTCGCATTTGATCTTGCTGCGACGGCAAACCAGGCACGCTGCTTGCTTTGGCTTTGGCGTCTCATTCATGGTGTTGGATTATGCCAAGCCCTGGTTCTGCTGTGAAGCGTTCATGATCCGGCATCAATATTTTTTGAGATCTTTCTCGGCTTCCGATCAAAAACAGGGCATTATCTACACCTTTAGGTTGAAACCCGCCACCTCGGGTAGGTCAGCAACTGGCATTGATGACTCTGTTGGATGGCCATTTCGGCGCACTGACGAGAGGCGGCGGTTTCCATGGACGCAAGATGCCCAGGAGTCCAGGACTGGCAGCGGTCTGGTGGCGCTCAGCTCAAGTGGGTCCCTCAATGATCGCTCTGGTCCTCTGGAGCACATGATTGATGGTGAGCTTCAACATTCTGCCCTGGCACGATCAATGAATGGACTGAGACAACACAGCTATCAGCCACAGCAGTAGCTGACAAGTAATTCATTTAATGGATTGGACATGGGATGCGTATTCCTGCGCTTGGCACATGTCATGATGGCCGACTGGTGGTTCTGCATGGAACATCCCGCGAGGGGTTTGGCATTGGAGTAAACTTTGAATGGGAAGAACCCGAGCAGCTCCTTCCATCCTGGATATGGCGCCCGCATCCTCTGCAATCATCTCAATAATCGACGAATAACAACCCCGACTCTGACTCGACGATGGTCATGGCCTGCATACATACAGTTACCGCCTCAATCAATGTTTTGGGCAGCTAAACGCAAATCAAGAGACCACGATATAAGCCCACGATCCCCTGTCCCAGGCTGGCCGTTGAAACACGCACAAGAGACACTTCCAAGCACTCTCTTCGACGCCGGACGATGCCACCAACGCGAGCTTGTGATGTAGTTAAAAACATTACACAGGTATCCGTCGTGATGGTTTGGGTCCATGCGAGTCCAGGCGGTGAGCACCATGAATCTTGGGGCGTGTCTTGGTTGCCGTCCTCATAATTGATCAAGTGACGGCCTGTCGCCGATTCAACATGAGACCCGCGGTAGTCGACTCTTGGCAGCATGGCAAGTCACATCAGGATTCTGGTATTCCTTAACTTTGTCGCATTGGACCCCAAACTCGTGGATAAATGACTTGTATGCGTGCGATCAAATCGCCAGAGGATTTAACTGAAAGTTCAGCGTAAAAGGCCAAGTTCCGTGGACACAAGACAGTAGAAAGAATGAAAATAAAAAGAAGGAACTCGACGTCTAAACATCTAAAGGGATACATAATAACTACCAAGGTAAAGATTTCTCATAGCCGATGACGTCAGTTTGCTTTTCCGTGTGCCCAGAACCACCAAAATGATTAATGACAGTTCGTCACTTGCAGCGGTTTATTCACCTCCGACTATTGGCAATCTATTCATGGTCATTCAAGTTTGCAAGTAGAGATTTAATGTTGGAGGACTACAGACACTTAACATTATCAACATAACCAATCGTTAGGCCTCCCCGTCCGCTTTTGAGCAAAACTCCGTCAGTCTCCAAATTCGTTCTCGATGTGTCGCCCGAGGATTCCAATCACAGGAGGTCTACAAGTGGCCTTAATTCACTGATCCGTCTTCCTTGCACCGTCAGACTGGTAAGAAATACGAGCCTGTGACTAGTCACTGGGCTCTCCGTTCCGATGAATGGAAGAATTGATTTGAAGAACGGCATCGGTCTGGATCCATGGAGGGACGCAAACAAACAGTATCCTTGCACACGACACCATATGGGAACTCATCAATTTTCCTCGGATACACAATATTTCCGCTACATTCTTTGCGGTAGACACAAGATCGACTGGAATAATCTCTGGTTTTGATAAAGAATATCGAGTTCAACGACCAGCATACCGGTCCCAACGTAATACATGTTCGTCTTCAATGCATCTCGAAACCTCGCAGCTTGCAGCACCATCCCAGTCGCCCAATTACGGCGGCTGTAGAGGGTACCTAAACCTGGGGGGAACTAGTGTATATAAGTCTGGTAGCTTCCCCCTTTTGACCTTGATTCTACGAATAGCTTAGCCTCTAGAAAGTATTCTATATAAGTAACGCAGCTGCCTCTGGTCTTTTTGTGCATTCTCAGGCACTTTTCGCTTTATTCCGCCTTCGGCCGACTTGCCGTTCGCGGCCCGAACCCTTCCCCCCGCGCCGTGTTGTTCTACGGGTCGTCGGCGCTTGAGCGGCACGGACTTGACTATTTTGGCAGCCACGGCCCATGCCAATCCCGGGCGAACCACTTATAAGACAGTGCAGAATGAACCAAGACGCAATCAACAGAAGCAACATGATGTTCTAAATGATCTTTCTGCTTTAAAGACCGCACGACACAATCGACAACGTAGAGAGAAACGCCCCGCTTGCATGCGGTACAATTACACCAATGCCTTCCAACACCAATGCCATGGGGGCACTCGCCGCCGTCCAGAACGACAAGTCCAAGATATTAGGCGTCCGTATGGGCAGGCACACTGTTGAGCCGGGGTTGCACATCCCCAAGGCCGGTACGAAATACCACCAGACGTTTCTATTTCACTCTTACACCAATCCAGTGAAAACTAACCTCTGTTATAGAAGCACGAGACGAGCCAGTTGTTCGCTTTGATGGGGCCAACACTTCAACGAAATACATGGTCGTCTGTCTAGACCTGGATGCTCCTCATCCATCGTTCCCCTTTCTCAGTCCTATTCTTCACTGGATTCAACCTGGGTTGCAGGCGGCAAATGAAGGCGGACAGAGGGTTTTGAGGGCATCTGAGCCGTCGATTAGCGACTATGCTCCTCCTGGCCCTCCACCGGGCAGTCCACCGCACCGGTACTGCTTCTTCTTATATGGGCAGCCGGCATCCTTGGATGGGAGCAAGTATGCTTCAGTCGATGGGGCCAAGATGGGCCTCTGGTCGAGAATGCGCTACAGTCTTGATACGGCGGAGAAGGAGTTGGGATTGGGTCCGATCGTCGCGACCAACTACTTTACGAGCAATTAGTCAATTGGCTTGGAGATGGGATACCCATATAGTACTTGGCATTGAGGTTTACTGCTGAATAACTTGTGGTATTTATAGTACCGCGTAGAAGAGCGGTATTACTCTACATCTTACATCTGACTGTCCTCTAGCCTATAATATAGATGTAGCAAGGGGTAGTCATGCCCGGCGAGTTGAGTTGGGGTTCGACATCCAACCAACCATATCACCCGAGGTATCTTGAAATGCATAGATTTCGCCCCGGGAACTGCAGAGATGGATCGTGCAATCCGGCCTCGTCTCTCCCGTGTTCAAGTTCACGCAAACCCAACCACACCATGTCCAACTATACATCTCACCAAAAAGCCACCCGTTATGCCCCAATAACTCCAACTATCCCGCAACCCCTGGCCCACCAAAGAGGCGTCCAGCCAGCTCGGCTCAATGAGACCCCGATCCAACTCCGCAAAACTCCCACGCCACGGAACACGCCCCCAACTCCCCAACATCACCAAGCCCGTCCGGTGTGCTCCGCCCTTCCCGAAGCCCAGCTCCGTCGATACAATGAGGGGCGCCCTTGTCCATGAAGCCCCCATTGGCGGGGACGAGTCGTGACGTGATGGCGATTTCTAAGCAGGTCATCTACGCCCGCCAAAAGAACATTACCAAGCGCCCGCTCAAAGTGCCATGCTAATCGAAGTCAGATAGTACTAGTCTTGATGGAGTCCCCAATATATAACACATAATACATCCGCCCCGGTCGCGGTTCCTCATGAGCAGCCCATCCCTCACCAACCAGCTTCGCAACTCACAAACATGGCCGCCAAAACCGACATTGTGCTCTACACAGCTTCGACGCCCAATGGCATCAAGGCATCGATTGCGCTCGAGGAGCTCGGGCTCCAGTACAAAGTAAGCCAACCGTCTCCGCGAGACAAAAGCGCAGACAAGGAGGACAGCGGCTCACAGCGGCAGGTGCACGCGATTAAAATGATGGAAAACGAGCAAAAGGAGCCGTGGTTCCTCGACATCAACCCCAACGGGCGCATCCCCGCCCTGACGGACACGCTGGACGGCAACAAGATCCGCGTGTTTGAGAGCGGCGCCATCCTCGAGTATCTCGTGGACCGGTACGACAAGGACCACAAGATTTCGTATCCCCGGGGCACAGCAGAGCACTGGGAGGTGACAAGCTGGGTCAGCAGCCTCCTCGTACACACCAGACGTCCCGAGGGAAACGGCTGCTAACATTGAAACATTATGTTTGAACAGCTCATGTGGCAGATGGGCGGCCTGGGCCCGATGCAAGGCCAGTCCAACCACTTCAAGCGTACGTCGTCGTCGCCGGAGCGCCAGGCGCAGCAATCTATCTCAAGTGCTTGCTAACCCAGCCGCAGGATACGCCCCCGAGAAGATCGAATACGGAATCAACCGCTACGGCAACGAGACGCGCCGCCTCTACCGCACCATGGAGGACCACCTCGCCAAGTCGCCGCACGGGTTCCTCGTCGGCGACCGCGTCACCGTCGCCGACATTTCATGCTGGGGATGGGTCGCTTCGCACAGTAAGGTTTCTTCCCACCGCCGCGACGTACGTGCCTCACTGCTAACCGCCTCGACCAAGCCTGGGCGGGCGTCTCGCTCGACGAGTTCCCCCATCTCGACAAGTGGCTCAAGACGCTGCTGCGGCGGCCTGGCTTCGAAAGGGGCCGCCACGTGCCGAATCCGCATACCGCCTTTGACAACGACGGCCTGACGGAGGAGGAGCTCGACACAAAGGCCGAGGGGGCCAGGAACTGGGTGCAGGGCGGCATGAAGGCCGACGCGCAGAAATGATGACGATGTTGGCCAAACAAGCTGGCGAGCCTACAGGACAAGCGACTTATATGTTCTTGAACCACGGCAGATGTACATATATACAACGCAGCGCTTGTCAGAACGCGCCGCGCGCGCAATAAAACACAATCCTAATGAACAACGGCCAGCTTCCCCCTCACGGGGACATTCTCCTGCCTCCCCACGGGCGGAAACCCGTCGACCCTGACGCCCCTTTGGAATACCAAGCAGTGGCTCGACCCCCCAAAGTGAAACATGCCCAGCTGGTCGCCCTTTTTCAAGCGCTGGCCCTCCTTGACCGTGATGTCGCACGTGCTAACCTCGTCCATGCCGATGCCGATGAAGCCCAGCAGGCCAATCTTGGGGTTGTCCGCCTCCAGCACGATCATGGCCCTCGCCGCCAGCGCGGACAGGTACCCCTGCGCCACGGAGATGCCGCGCGTGTCAATCTCGACTCGCGGGTCGCCCTCGGCCTCCGAGAGCGGCTCGCTAAAGTACGTGCCGTCCTGGACGAAGGCGCGCCGCACCGTGCCCGAGACGGGCGAGTGCCAGCGGTGGTAGGAGAGCGCCGACAGGAACGCCTGGTAGATGGTGCCGCCGACGAACTCGTGCGCGAGCGTGTCGTGCGCAAACATGTCGACGAGCGAGTACGGCTGGCCCTTGGCGAAGAACTTGTCGCGGAGCCGGACGTCGTGCGCCACGTTGAACACCGAGGACTCGCACGCGTTGGCAATGACGGAGTCGTCGTCGGGATCGGCGACGGGGCGCGCCGCGTCGTGCACTCGCCGCGTGAAGAAGTCTCGTCGGGAGTCAGCAGGTATCTTATACATGGCGTGGTGCTTTGTGCTGGAGAATCAGGGGTGATTCCTTGTGTGTGAAAAGGGGGGGGGGGGGGGGCTGCCATACCGTCCCAGGACTTGAAACCCATGTGTTTTGCGGAGGGATCGCAGACAAACATGTCCTCAAACTTCATGCTCGACTGGTACGGCATGTTGGCGACCTGGACAAGATCACTCATGCCCGTCTGTCCGAACCAGCCTAGGCTATGGTCCCCCAGGACCTCTGCCGACTCGGGCGTCTACAGCCGGATATCAGCTCACAGGCCCGACGAACACGGCATTCGTTCAATGTTGCCTGACATACCTGCAAGTACTTCCCCCACTCGTTCAGCACCTTCTTCAACGCCTTGTTCACGTCTGGATCTAGAAACGCCGCGTGCCCACTGGCTCCCCAACACCCCCGTCAGCAGCCATGTTATCACGACAGAGAGACCGTCCAAGCCAAGTCTCGCGAAAATCAAACTTACCTAGGCGTTCCCATTTGGTAGTCTAGCAGCGAGCACATGGGCACTCCTACCACGCCCACGCTCTCCGCGGCCTCTGTCCACTCCGGCGCTCGCGTCACGATGTGGTTTAGCACCTGCAGCATGTGCTCGTAATCGCGAATCTGCTTGCCGCCCGTGGGGTCCCGCCAGTAGGGATGCTTGCGGGGGATTTCGTCAAACATTTGCACAAAGTACATGTATATGCGCGAGTTGCCTTCGATGAGCTGCCTGAATTCCTCGAGGGCCGGTGTGAGCGGCTGCTTGGGGTGCGAGTCAATGTGGCGGGTGACGTTGGAGAGGTATTGGCGATGGACGCGGTGGTCGGCGGGGAGCCATGCCCCCGGCCTGCGTAGACAAGTTAGTTACACGATATAATGTCTTGTGTTGAGATGATGGATTGCGAGAAAAGGGTGGGAGTGTTTTGGTGTAGCGGACGTACCTGTGGATACGATACTCGGAGGGGATGTCATGATGATCGCCGTGCTGATGAACCATTTTGAACTCCTTGATTCGCAGTCGAGTATCCTCAATTGGTGTTTGTTGCCAGATCAGACTGGTGCATCAAGTGTCCGGCAAGGCTGCATTGTTGCACCTAAACTTTATATGAGTGCGGCTCCCTAACCGCCGGTCGATGACGCCGGTGATGCCGCTCATACATCGACGACATGGAGCTGGACGGCAACTCGGCACGGCTCCACGCGCCGCCCCGTCATCGATGATGCGCCCAGTGCCAACAATCCAGTCGTTGATCGTTGATTCTACACGTCCGCACCCTCAAGCCTCGTCACGGTGCAGCATCCGCTTCGCATGCTCGGTGAATTTTCAAAATAGTCTTTATCAATGTCTACTTGCTCCACCATGGGTTGAAAAATTCCATCCTCTTAGAGGGGGTATCTATACACTCAAGAATCCGAAAAGCTCCTCCACCCAATTTGTTTGAGGCACTCCATGCGTTTTGCCCATTGCAGATTGTTAGCACGCAACAAATGCTCAACAGAAAAAGAAAAAAAAAAGTCCTTCAACCGCCCTACACAACGGTTATGCCGCAATGTGGGTTGAAATGTTGCCACTCATATCAAGCCAAGATCGTAGTGTCGAGTCATTGAGAGAAGTCGGGGTGGTAGAATTAAAGGCGTAGACAATGAAACGTAGGCATGGTACCAAAGTCGGACAAAAATGTCCAAATGTCGTGTCATCGATTTCCTGGCCCCCAAGTATATATCGTATTCGATAATTCATCGAGTACAAGGGGGAGAAGCAAACATAAGCTCCTCGTTGAATATCGTCGCCATTTCTCGCCTTCATGTGACGCCGGGTAAAAAGAAAAAGAACAAATGAAACCATAAAAGTCGCTAAGCTGGACAGTGAAGTGAGGTGTAGAAAAGAAAAGAGAATATGGCAAGCTGAGAAATAACACAAAGGGCTAAGAATGGGTTTCTATGAATCACAAGTCGTAACGTCGTAATAGTTTAGCTAAAGTAACAGTGCCGTGCAGTAGATAGACACAAGCTGAGCAAAGCCGTGCTTGATTACATGATGACACAGCATCCGCAACCGGCCTTCTTCTTAGCTTCTTGCTCTGCTTGTATCGTCGGCTCACCAACATCTTCAGGCTGCGGGATGGGCTGCGGTCCGGGGGGTTTGGGATTCGCTACTGCGGTGACTGCAGGTTTGTCCGATATCTTGGGCATCGTTGAGTACGAGCCCTGCTTTGGACTCTTGGCAATGCCTGATTTCAGCGGCCAGTCTCCTGCCTGCGACAGATCTTCCACTTCAGGGGGGACAGGTTCCTTCTCTTGCGGTCTCGGGAACTCATGGTCGTTCAGGGGGCGAAATTCCTTGTCATAGACGTCACCAAATTTCCCTTCCTTCTCCCACCTTTCTTGCTGTAGACGCTTGGCCACCGTGGGTAGTAGCTGCTGGTCCGGAGGCAATCGCGGGTCGGGCTTGTATGAGTCAAACACCCATGGTGGGTCACCTTCGGGCTGCTTGCTGGCAGCAGACGGTTCCCCAGATCGTGTGGATGGGCGGGTTCCACTGACATCCCGATTAGGGCCGGACCTGGTTTTTGGCCTGCTGGGAGTTGTGCTGGTCTTTGATGCAGTCGAAGTTTTTCGTACCGTGGTCTTCTTTGGGGAGCTCTCCGTCACGGATCGCTTTGCGGTGGCCGACCGACTGCCGTTGTGGACTGCCTCAAAGTCCCTGGTAGAAGCACTCGCGCTTCGCGATCGCGTTTTAGTGTAGGCAATGGTATCGCCGTCCATTGACTCGATCCGTCGAACCGAAGGAGAGCCACGCTCCAGGTAATCTTGTGGGATGGGGGCAGGGCTAATCTTGGCTACCGGAATCTTGGTGCCTCCCCTCAGACTCTGCGAGGAAAAATAGGCATTGGCCTCCTCTTCAGCAATCTCTTCTGGCGTTCGCAAATCCCAGCAGGGAGAAGAGTACGACTCCTCGCCAACTTGACCCATGACAGCAGAATCGTGGCGCTGTCGGTTTTGATGCTGATTATCGATATCGATCGAATTCTGACCGCGGGGCCGTCTTTGCTTGCTGGAGGCTCGGACCCTGGGCATTATGAAGCCGGCGGCTTGCAGCTCTTCACTTTCAATTTTGGCCAACTTGTCTCGATGAATCCATTTGGAATCTTCCTCGCTGTACTCGAAGCCCAGGGTCTGTTGAATATGCCGCCTGTGCTCTTCTGACCCACCGTGCTTTCCGGAAATCGCATCTTCGGAAGGGTTCGGTTGGCCTTGTCTAGACTCAACTGCCAACGCCGGGGAGAGCCCAGCGTTTCCATCTCCTGATTTATCCCATTTAGACACGTTGAGGTTGTCGGAGGAGTGCGTTTTGCGAGCAGCCATTTCAAAATCGTTGCCGGCTTGGGCGTAGGAAGAAGACAAAGCGTTGCCGTTCTGCGAGCCGACAGCACCGCGAGAGGGTTCATCGGGGCGAGGTTCGTTCTGACCGTCTTGCGATGTCTTCTGTGAATGGATTTCATTAGCGAACCCTGTTGAGCCAATGGCGGAGATACGCGCAGGAAAGGGAGGCACCGCAGGTCGTGTATAATCTCGTATCCAAGAGTCTGCGGATGGCAAATTTATTCTTACTTCTGGCTGCGCACCGGGGTAATCCCAGACGCCCTCCCCATGGCTGCCGCTCAGCGGTGTCAAGGCCGCAGCTCCCGTGGGAGTTGATGAAACAGCGGCCATGGAAGGTTGAGTAGCTGGGGCAGCCGACTACCCCTTTTCGTAGCTCAAAAAACAGCGTGGCCGTGAAGAGTGACTAGGCTGGTGTACAAGTCGGTCAGGTTCAATCGCGGTTGGTGTTTGTACAAATATGCCAGAGATGGGGTTGGTGTGTTGGAGTCGCCGAGGACCAAGTTCGGTCGTGTCTGGTCTGTCGCAACAGAGGCTGAAGACTAGTGTGGCGTCGCTGGTTCCTGGAACTCGACTCTTGTGGACTCCGAGCCGGCGGGTAACGGGTAGACGATGTGGGAGACACAGAGGCGAGAGAGAGGATGGCTGGGCTTGGACGAGACACGCTACACGAGCGGCACTCATCAGCCAACGGCAATCGGCAGTGACGGCGGCCTGAAGCAATTCGTGCAACGGCACGATGGCCAAGATGATGGGGAAGATCAGTGGGGGAGAAGGAAGAAGGGTCAGGGGGCGCGGCTGGAATGGGAGAGGCGAATTGAAGCACCGCGAGTTCGAACCGACTCCAAAAACCTTGGACCAGGGAAGCTTGCACCTGCAGCAAGGCGGCAGCAGCGCGTCTTCCCGTGCGCAACCTGGCAGTCCTCTAGTCTACCTGTCCTTGAACGATATGAGAACCGAACGAGAGCGGATATGAGCTGTCAGGCGGACTTGAGGCAGATGATGTTCACTAGGAAGAGGCGGCGGCGGATAGATGGCTCCTGGATCACGATTGTGTCCAAGGGCCGGGCTCAATGCTCTGAGCAGACGGGCGACTCGAGGCTTGATGAGAGCACTCACGATCAAGCAAAAAGAGATGAGAGATGCTCCAACAAGAGACCACAGGCAGAATGAGCTGAGGCCGATTGGTCCAGGGCGCAAGTCCAGTCGTGTTGGTTCGAGCTTGTGCGGGTCGGCAGGGTTCATGAAGCGCCACAGGCCTTTGAATGATTTATTACTACGACGTGAGGACAATGTCGACGGATGGTGTTTTGGGATATGCATTGCTCTTTACCGACGCCGTCCGATGACGCAGGGCTCAGTTGCAGTTTCGGAGAGAATCGGCAGATCAGTTTGCAATTGGCCGGAGGGCCGCATCAATTGACCTAGACGGCATGAAGGGACATACTTGAGCTCAAGCTGCTGCTAACATTGGATTGACTCCATGTCAGTGCATGCACTGTGTGCTGACATCGAGAAACTTTGAACATTGAAGCGCCGGCTGGCTCTTCAGCGAGCACTTGGGGCGCTCCAGGCAACCCAGCCACTGAACACAGGGCTGGGGGGCACTAGACGCGCTGACCGCTTGCGCAAACCCCACCGGACCAGTTGACCGCTGGACCAGTCCAGCCATGTCCCTTGTGGCGTCAAGGACTGGACAGCTTCCAATCTTGATGTCGACTGCTTGCGCTTCGCATCCTCTGGTCCCCCTCGTCGGGCTCAGCATTCAGGGCACGGCGCCAGGGTCATCATCCGCTCTGCGTCAACGAGACCAATTTTTCGGTCTCTTCGTGCAACCTCAAACCCCTGTCACCAGTCTCCGCCCGGGCGTTGTCAGTGTCGTGTCTGGTAATTTCGCCTCATCCAGCCAACCGCCTCCTGCGGTGGAGGAACCGCCATATCACTTACTTGACGAGAGTCACCGTCAATTGTTCCATTCAGCATTAATCCTCCGGCCCAGCTCCTCGTCTGTCGGGGTGGCGCTGATGGACTCGGCTTCAAGTTACACAAACCCGGCATCGATTCGCATTCATCACTTGAAGCCCGTTGGCAAAGTCGTCGGCGGACCACGGTCTCTTCTCAGCGTCTGATCATCTCCTCTATGGCCGTTCTTGGACATTGCTTGCTATTCCTTGAGACACCGCTTACGGCATTGATGAATACATTCGAAACGCGGCTGGCAGGGTATTTGTGTCAGCACCTTGTCGCTGTTTTTCTTGTCAGTCGTTTCCCCCCCGCGGGAACAAGATGGCAAGATGGAGTCTGTTTACTCTTGGATGCAAGGACACGATGGGAGTAACAATGACCTAATGAAGATCCAGGTGCAGTTGGCATCCCGAACAACGTCACATTTGAGTCATGGTCCGCAACTACCGACGGCATCCTGGTGACGGGCTTGTCCGGCGAAAATCATCAGGCAAACCGAGCTCATCGGGGTCTCGACCGTCCGGGGGGCGCGTTGCATGGGGCTTCATTTTATCCGCACGAGCCCAACAAGACGTGTCTCATCTACGATATAGGCCTGTTCTTTTTACAATGTCAACTCATCAATCAATGTATGTCGATGTCGATGTCTCGGCGCAAGAGCCTCACGGGCATCGTTCAACGTTGAGACGGGACATGGCCAAATATCTACAGAAAGCCTCAGGCAGTGCCATCGTACCACTAGTCAGAGTCATGTAGACATGCAACCCAGCATCACTTAAATCATGGTAAGATATCATTCATCCGTGCCAAGAGGGCCTCGGCGTGGCCTAGCACCGTCCGTGATGACTGCAGTGGTCGGTGACTCCATAATACTACTCCGTATTCTTCATCCAATCTCGAAATAACTTCCTCCGTGCTCCGTGGAGTAATCTACGGAGCAATCGCACTGTCATCTCGCCAAATTGGAGCTATGCGCTGACCATGGAGCGGATGCTACACGATGCAGGGACCAAGCGCGGCTGGTGGAAAATGGCAAAATAAGGACCAGTGACTCCATATAATGAGCGACAGTCGTTTATTGGTAGACTGATGCCACCGACGATACTGTCATTATTTTGCCATCCATTGCGTTGGACCTGTCTCATCGTGCTGCTTTGCGGAGATAACTGTGGCTGTACAGTGCGATTTGAGGCTAGCACTGGGCCGTGATGAAGCAGTGTCGTTCACCCGAAAATATATTTGGCATGCTCTCTGTCTCACAAACATTCAAATTGCCCAAACATCGCATCCTCTGTCGTCCGGCGGTCGTTAAGATGCCTGCTTAGGTTCCAAGTAGCCAGCCGTGTGAGACAGGTAAACTGTCAATTACCACTTTTCGTTGGTGCATAACCGACGAGATGCCTCTGAAAGCATCACAAGCGACATCCCAGTGCCATGTTCCAATTCTTACTTTTTATCTCGTATCCCACGTGGATGGAAGAATGGCAATTCGCCGTTGATTGGTAAAATAAACGTGAACATGTTGTACGAAGATGGACCAGGCCAGTTGACCCTTCAAAGTTTCCAAAAATATTCCCCAACCATCGAAGCCAATTGGCTAGTAGCTGAACATAACTGAGGACTGAGTGTCATAACATCAACATCTTGACTCATTCATTATCACCTGCTCGCCATCGACGCTCGTACCGTCATGAATGTTTATTTGCTTCGGGGCTCACAATTACGCATAACCCGATGAGCTAAAATGCTCCGTCTCAAACTCCCCAAACGCCGCTGACACCCGCTGACCCGGAACATTTCTGCATCTATTCCTAGAGACACAAAACATTGACTTGACTTGTCTAAGACACACGTCAACCGTCACACGCAACGTGAGTCTGTGTCGCTTCTCAAAACCACGCAGTAATTGTCGGCCACTTACCCGGTACACCCACCAAGTCATCCCCCGAATGCCGATGCAATGGCAGAACCAAAGGTGCGCCGGACGAGAATCGTCTGCGTCTCAGATACACACAATTGCACCGTCAAGCTTCCAAAGGGCGATGTTCTCATCCACGCGGGGGACATGACAAACCAAGGCAGCTATTCCGAGGTATACCTACCCTGTAGCGATTTGCTCCAAGATTTAAAAAGTCACTGACTGACAATACAGCTATAGCTTTCAAAAACGGTAAAGTGGCTAGAAGAAGCAGACTTCGAGGCCAAAATCGTTGTTGCCGGTTCGCAGCCCCCTGTGACGCTTGACAAAGAGCCAGAAGCTAAACAAACACAGGAAACCACGACATAACACTAGACAAAGACTTTTATGCACAGCACGCTTCAGCGTTTCACAACCAGAGCCCTCAGTCTCATTCACAGTGTCTCCAACTGCTCACATCCTCACCATCCATCACATACCTCCGCCACGAATCGACGACGATTCGCCTACGCTCCCCCGAGGGACCAGGCACTCGATTCACAGTCTTTGGGTCGCCATACTCGCCCCGATACGGCCTCTGGGCGTTTTCCTACGACGTCCCCGCCTCTCCCGGCGAAGACTTGGCCCCGGCGAGCCTGTGGGACGACATACCGCCGAGTACTGACATTGTGGTCACGCACACCCCGCCGAGGGGATGCCGCGATGAAACGAACAGCATGCAAACGACGGGGTGTGAGGCTCTCCGAAGAGCGCTCTGGAGGGTGAGGCCGCGGCTCGCCGTCTGCGGCCATATTCACAGCGGACGCGGCGCGGCGCGGGTTCTCTGGGACGAGGAGGACGGGTTCTCTGCGACAAGCGTCAGGGCGTGGGAGGACCCTGGGGCTGGAAACAAGAAAGTGAGTCTGGTGGATCTCACGGGGAGGAAGGCGTCGTCGTTGGGGGAGGGGGAAACGTGCGTGGTCAACGCGGCTGTTATGAAGAGTAGTTACCCGCATGTGGGCGGGAAGCAGTTCCATAAACCTATTGTTGTGGATGTGAATCTGCCGCTGTGCGCAGAGGAGGGTTGAACAAGTCCGGTATAATCGGACTGAAGAGCATGGCGTGTTCCATTATCAGATAGTCGTGACTATGCTGCTGGATGGCAACGGTGTGTATTTGGACTTGTGACGCGCTCGCTGGAGCCTTTTCATCTTTGTATCGTCAAACGTCAACTACCCTAGCGCCGGGATATCGCTAGTGATGGTCGTTGCATATACTCAACTTGTAAAGACGTTAATTTTGCGATTTAACAAGTCAAAACAGTGGCTTGCTGAAAACGTTCGTCAGAGTCTTGCATGAATCTCGACTTTGAGGAGCGCGATTCTACATCGGTCACGCCGCTTGTAGAACCTAAAGGCCTTCCAAGTAGATTCTACACACTCGGCATCTTGCGACGAAATGTATAGCTGGTGTCATGCGGCGTGGCATCTTTCCAAGATGCATTCCTACTACAGAGAAATCCAATTCGATGGAATCTGTTGGGCATATACACTTCAAGTGACGATAGCACCAAATCTTTGAATCGACCCACGAGTATCAAAAGATGAGGGCGCCGTATCGTCCCAAACTCCCCGGCTCACAAAATAGCACTGTAGCCTACTTTAGCCCTCGTCTCGTTCGCCGTGTAGCTCTTCCACGCCGGCCACGTAGCAACACGCGCTGTTTGCATATGTCCCCCGCTGTTGCTCCCACCCATGGCTCCCATTTGTCCTTGTTATGTACAACGGCCTTATGCCCCTTCTTCGGATAACAGCGCCTAAGGCTGGGCGAGGCGGCCCATCGAGCTCGAGGTCAGGAGCGTAGTGTCTTCTTCTTCTTCTTCTTTTACGTGGGGGTAGGGTTGCGAAATTCTGGCATCAACGCTGCCCTCCTCCCCCCCCACACTCCTCTGTTTCTCTATCTCGACGAGATCAGGCCGAAATGAACAACCACATCTCTCGAATAGTCCTCGAAGAAAAAGCGCCGGCGACAAGCAAATGCATCTTTGATTCGGGAACGACTTGAGTAGAGGCTCATGCCATAGGCGGCACGGCGATACGGCCATGACACTGTTCATCGGACCGAATTGCATTGATACAGGCTCCAAATGCCTCGTAAAGTGTAATGTTTGGGCCAAGGACACGATGTCTGCTGCAGAGTGATGTGGTGTAGTGAGCCTAATCTTGACAATGTGTACTGGACACGGAGTAGCTATGAGTGAGTGCGTTGAAGTGCTTGGAAATGGCTCGGCCTAGGGTTCACCTGGAATGCCCTCATTCGTGGACATGTCTTCTCATGATGACTTACTCCGTATAACGGGGGATATTGGTTGGGAACACTCTGGTTGCAGAGCATTTGTGCTGGCGGGCGAGTCGCCTTGTCTGCATGAACAATGTCTTCGAGACACACAGCAGGCCCTCACTCTGACATGAAGCCTGTGAGGACTGGGAGCGGCATTTGCCATTGCAGGTTTGAACCACCTTTGCACTCACGGTGACAGCGAAATCGGACGCGCCCGGTGCGATAACAGCGTGGACCTACAGCAAGAGTTGTAGATGGCTCATGTCGAGCAGCATTGCTGCCTTGGGCGCATCATGTTCATCTATCTTGCTCTCAACACTGAAAAGTCGCGGCATAGAGTTGTCTGAACTTTGCCCATAGCTCCGGTTTGTTCACGCCAAACAGTTCAGACCTCCCGCATCTGCAAAAGACAAGACTGGTACTATCCGGCAAAGGCTTTGCGTTCCCAGCCCGGCAAGTGTTGGCAGTAGCATCCAGCATACTACTCTGTATGTATGCATCTCCTCTTTCATTGGCTTATGGGGCGAGCAATTGGAGTGTTCAACACGGTCCCATCATTCGGCACTGATGGCAGATTGTGCTGTATTTGGAAACATGTATGCTGCTTGAGGGACATGGTGGCATTGCCCGCATTGACATGTCTCAATCCTCCAAAGTGTAACATCGAGGCTGCCTGCCTGCATCGAGTTGTCGCAGCAAGCCTTGTGCAAAGGCCCAATCGCGCAGTTACAAGTGCAACGGCCCTTGGCATGGCAGCAACCTCCCCAGGCATTGGCTGCCGTTTCCCATGCCGTGAGAAGTGATGAATCGATGTGTACGGAGTAGAGTGTGGTTGTACAGCGTGTCTCTCTGCCCGGGTGGCTTGGCCGTGTCGAAGCCAACATTGAACCACCACCAGCAGTCGGCGGCCGATCAGAGCGATGAGGCTCGCTGTTACGACAATTGAAGCCCACGGCGGCTGAGAACGTGGACACGATGATGGCCCAACGAATCGCCTTGTAGCGAGCCACGTCTTTCATGACGCTGCAATGGCTGAATCTTGATCGTGTCTGTTCCCCGCGCGTCAGGCGCAACATGTGCCCAGCTTCACTCTACCCAGCCGCCCCTGGGCCCTGGCCTTTGCCATGCATGGTAGAGCTGACCGAAGCTGGGGCAGCCCGCCTCCTCGTCCGGTGTCGAGTGGAATGCCGAAAGGAAAGGGGCCAGTCGTTTCTGCTGTCGAAACTCGAAAGCCTCGTCGTTGACGCAGCTTCGTGGATCGATGGAAGCATTGATTGATTGACCCAGCCAGCCTGGTTCGGTATCTGGCCCCGCCTCTTTCCCCCTCATTCTAAAACCCCGGGCCTGTTCGTTTTCTGCGCCTTTTCTGTGCCCCTCGGCCAGTCGAGACATGCGGCCGGCGATTGCCTCACGGGCCACGGCTAAACAGACTTTGTCCATCTACTATCCGAACTTGCATCTAACTGCGTCCCCTGCAGTCTGCCTGTTGGCAAGCTCCGCGATGCAGGTCCGTGTGGTCGCGGATACTGCGGCCATGGCCACCTCGGATCACCAATTGTTGTCCGTCTGTACATACAGACGCCCACTGTACATACGCTGGGCGGCCCCCATGCCCCTTCAATGTTCCCATGCGGCCAGCCAACGGGGCCCTCCCTCTTTGCATGCAGTGTAAGCCATCCGCCGTTGGTGATTACGGGGTCCCTCTTCGTGCTGAGCGCAGAGGAGTTGGTTGGCGTGGGCAAACAAACGAAAGGGCCTGCCTGGCCTTGTCAGCCAACAATGGCGAGGCTTCCAAGTTTTCCTCGACGCCCATGGCCATCGGTAAACCAAGATTATGGCTTTAGCGGCGGATTAGTCGAGCCACAAGGCCCATCCCCGACTCCTTCGTTAGCAGGAGTGATCAGTCACCCAGGATCCGACGAATAGATGGCACAGGCCACGCGCGGGCAGGGAAGCAGAGCTCCATGCAGTGTGATGAGTCGACGAGGGTTGGGTAGCTTCTGTCCATGATCAACATGCCCGTCCAGTCCACATGGTGTGGCGGCTGCCGGCCAGCCAAGCAGGCTCTAGTGTCGTCGCTGCTTTTGCATGGCTGGCTGGACCCAGGAACCAGGCAGATCTTCTGCTTGAGAAACGGATTCCAAGAAAGGGCTTGAAACGGACTGAAAACGGCCCAGTTGCGTAAAGACCGACAACCCGTCAGCATCTGTGTTGCGGCAACTCGATACCACACGGCTTGACGCAATAGAAGACGTAAAGTGGTTGCGGAAGCGGTCATGATGGATACGTCTGCGAAATCATGACGTGCTTCATACATGGTGAGTTTAGTAGCCGATCGTTCGGGCCGAGGGTCAATCCCAGGTATCGTCAATTTGACTCTACTCTTTATGCTGACGGATGTTTCTCTGGGTGTATTCCAGCGGCTGCCCTTCTCTATTGAATCCCGCGTAAACATAGGCCAACTATATTGCTGCTTTGGTACCACCCTCAAGGCTCAGACTCTAGAACCTCTCCTACTTGAGACTTGATTGGTAGGTTCCGCATATTCTCAAGCCGTGTATATTCGAAACGAGGCCTTGGACACGGATGCGTCCCTTGCCAGTGACAATTTTGCCACGTAGCAGCACTTCTTGCTTTGGAAATGCCATTCATCATCGACTGGCACTCCATCCACCCTCCGATGATTCCGAGTCCCCAAGTTATTGGTTTCATTAACTGTTGAGATTTGCTCGCGTTCGTATTCCTATAAGATAAGCCAGCAGTGTTACTGCTGAGTATACTAGACTTGTTCTATGAGTCATCTCTCCGAGCTAGATCCTAAGTTACAAGCCATCACCTTTATCGACTGCCACTCCTCGCCGATGATTGACAGCTTTTACTTCTTTATAGCCGTTTCTAGTCAATGAAATCGTCAAGCCCATCGGTGAGAGCGACTCGACATCAAATGGAAGCCACGGCAAGAAACTGATCGAACCTTGGGTCGTGATCTATCTCCTTCTAGAGGCGGGGTCTCGATATTCTGAACGGCTTGGAACTATGATAAGCAAGTAGTACTCTATGAGATACAAGTTGTATTCTTACCAGAACCTCTAATTCGTCATGCGGCTACGGGTTGGTCATGCAGCCCTTGCTTACCAACAAACCCTTCAATCTCTTCGTATATATGGGGAAGGCAGGGCAGCTGTTTCTCTGATGGACACTGGTGTTGAGCCGATTGCATCTGGATTGCAAATATTTCATCATGCTTGGATCTCTTTATTGATGTTGGCCTTTTGCAAGTCAATTATCCGCAGCTTATTTGGCTGCCCGTGATAATCATCCTTGGTGAATCTCCAATCTCCATCTGGCAAATCATGCCTAAACTTATCCAGATTCTACAATTCGAAGGAATCAACACGTTGTAAGGATTTAAAAATATTCTTATCGCCATGATGCTTCTACGTGACAGCACTCGGCGTATTCTATTAATGAGACCTGGCCCTTGGTATAAGCAAAGATGCATTTCGCCTGTCCATGTCACAACACTAAAACCCAAAAGCTTTGTCACCAATCAACCCTGCCCCTGTGATATCCTTTGCCGTACATGTCATTATATTGGTTTACTGGAATAACGAATTGCTCCTGACAGAATGAGTATTCACGTCCCTTTCCGTCATTAGTCTGCTTGCTACTCCAGTGATCTTCACGACGTCTATGTTCTAAAGCGTTGTTATGTAAAAAATGACGGCCCTTGTTACTCTCCGGTAGT